TGCTTTTGTAGCTTTGCACTCCCGTCCAGCGATGTACGAGCAACTATAGATTATTGTCCACTTTTATTTATAGCACTTTTTAATTAATCGTTTTCCCCTTTTGTCAACTGTTTTACTAGGTAACCACAGCCGTCTCCTCGCCATGTCATGTTTTCTTGTTTTCCCGCAGTACAAAATTTAACTTAAGGTCATTCAATGTTGTTGTGTTTTTATAAAAATTAGTAAAAAAAACAACTTTAGCTTTAAACGACGAGAGCGATAATGCCCAGCTCTAAGCAGATGCACTACGGAAAAATGTTATAATGTTTGTTGTGTTTAACAAGATTAAGAGTTGTTTGTGGGCCATTGCATAAACATATCCATTTATCATATGCTTGCCACATATTCTCTCTTATTGGTCCTTTCTGTGTGTGGTTGTTCTTCATCATCTTTAGCATTTTGTTGGATGTTGCATTACATGTTTGGTGCTTGGATTCCAACAACCATCTACCTATACATTTGTCCGTCCCAAAACTCATCATTTTAGTAGTTGTTGCAATCCATCCATCCATCCAACCTTCCAACCATCCATCCCAACCATCCATCTATTGTTATCGCACAGTCAGTCAGTCTGCTGTTGAATATTTTTTGTTGCCATTTCTTCCTCTTTGTTTTGTACGTAATTTCATTTAAAACGTTTATGGAGGCCACAACAACCACTATTCGCCCAAGAACCATCACCAGCTAACAGCAACACCAATGTCATTTAGTCACAATTTGTATGTTGCAGTTGTTTGTGAATACGGTGAGAGTCTTAAATGGGTTCATGGTTTTTCTACTTAAAATCCGGGACTTGGTTATGAGGAAGACGATAATGTGGAATGTTATCAGTTTATTTTGAGGGCGAAATTTACATGTATCAGTTCTAACGATACAATTTTTTTTGGAATACAACTGCTTGGAACCTCATCATCGTCTGTAGGGTTTATTTTCTCATGCTTTATGCTATTTTGTGTTCCTCGAAAATATGTGCCGCGAAACTAATTTTGCTGTCTTACACCACCGACCCTTATGAGTTGATCATAGACTCGAGAAAGCTACCAGCCATTTTTTGCCATATTTTTTATGTCCTTTGATGATGCAGTTACCTGATTTGCAACATAAAAGGACATTACAGGGTGAGATAAAAAAACTGCAACAAAGTCAAATGTCATAATTTGTATATATTTTTTTAAATTTTATTGAATGAAAGCAAAAAATGTCGGATATAGCATCAAATTTTAGAATAAGTTTAGATTTGTTCGAATTGGTCATCTTTGGCACGAATTATGGTCTTCATACGGCCAATGAACCCGTCACACGCTGCCCGAATGTTGCTCTGCGGTATTTTGGCCCATTGCCGAAGAAGCGCTTGCTTGATGTAATCGACACTTTGGTATTTTTTAGTGCAAACCTTGCTTTCCAAAATACTCCAGACACAATTGTCCAACGGATTGGTATCCGGAGATTTTAGTGGCCATTGTGCCCTGGAAAAGAAGCGAGGAACCTTATTTTGTAACAATTCTTGGGTGGCGTGTGCTGAATGCGATGATGCTGAGTCCCGTTGGAATGTCCAAGGTCTTTGGCCAAAATGTTTGCGAGCCCAAGGCTTTAATACACCCTTCAGAATATTTTCGCGATAATATTCGGCATTTATTCTGATGCCACAGTCGATTAATACGAGCGGAGAGCGACCATCGGCTGTTATGGCGGTCCATACCATCACCATGGCCGGCGGTTGAGTTCTGGTAGCCAGCCGACCTCTTTGGCAAGTAAACACGATCATTTTGTTTGTTTACAAGCTGCTGGACAACGAATATTTTCTCATTGGAGAAAACCAAATTCGGCAGTTCACCACTTTCGGTCAAACGAAGCGGTGTAAGTTCTTGCACTTTTTGGAATTTCAATGGCTTTACCCCGAGCTGATATTTCAATATTTGCCGAATGGAACATTATGATATGTTCAGCACACGAACCATTTTTCGGCAACTGCGACGCGAATTTCGATCAAGTCGCTTCTTTACTTTTCGAACCATTTCTGCTGATGTTGCTGTTTTTTTCCGTCCACTTCCTTGACGTCGGGCTAAGCTACCAGTATCACCAGCCGACCTCTTTAGCAAGTAAACACGATCATTTTGTTTGTTTACAAGCTGCTGGACAACGAATATTTTCTCATCGGAAGAAACCAAATTCGGCAGTTCACCACTTTCGGTCAAGCGAAGCGGTGTAAGTTCTTGCACTTTTTGGAATTTCAATGGCTTTACCCCGAGCTGATATTTCAATATTTGCCGAATGGAACATTATGATATGTTCAGCACAACAAACCATTTTTCGGCAACTGCGACGCGAGTTTCGATCAAGTCGCTTCTTTACTTTTCGAACCATTTCTGCTGATGTTGCTGTTTTTTCCGTCCACTTCCTTGACGTCGGGCTAAGCTACCAGTATCACTGTAACGAGCGATGGTACTAGACACAAAAGATTTATTCACATTTAAATGCTGGAGTACTCTAACGATAGCCACTTGTGGTTTTCCAGCCAAATACAAAGAAATTACACTATCACGCTTGAATTCCATCGCGAATAAGTTTTTTTCTGGAAAATTCTCACCAAAATACAAAAGCTGTCACTGGAAAAATTTTAACAGCTGTCGGACGAGCGGCTTAGAAATGACAGCAGTCTGAAGTTGGTTGCAGTTTTTTCATATCAGCCTCTATAGCTGAAATGATCAAAATACTGGATCCGTACAGACAATTTTCTGTCACAGGAAGTAATACCCATTGCGAACTTCAAGTACTAAGTTTGAGATAATTCTGATGAAAAGTATAGCTAAAATGATTAACCATGTTCCCATTTGGGAACACGAATTGCCAATTTATAACAAATTCGGGTTATAATTGTGACAAAAACAACCAAAATTCTTTAAAGCTGGAGGTACAGTTAAATGAGGGTCATACTAAAACATTTACCTATACGAATTTTTAAAAATTTTCACAATTTTTCCTCTTTTGGTAGAGAAAATTACAAGAAGTAAACGAACAGCATCTTGTAAAACATTTCGTAAAAAAGCTGATCAAAATAACTTTGGCGCCAATCATAACAGCAGAAATATTTTAATGCAGATGACATCTTTAAATTGACTTAGAATTTTATGTTGACAATGAATATATATACTTTATGGGGTCTATGACGAATATTTAGAGGTGACACGAAAATGACAAATTATATATACCCAAAGATACCGTCCTTAACGAATACATTCCTGCATCTTCAAATGAAAAAGCTGGAGTTAACACCTTAATAAATAAAATAGCTTTATTTACATTTTCGTTATCCATTTTTGTTAATACATTTATTGCTTTTTTCTTCAAGTGGCTAAAATGAGTTGTTAAAAAACAACTGACTTTTGAACAGTTACTGGAATTTATATATAAAAATTTTCAACTCATCTATTGTCAAAGTTAAGGACAGGACACAATTTTCGTATAAAATCCTTTTTGCTAATTATTGACACTCGCTGTACAGCGTTGTCCTCCACCTCCTTCTAATATCAATATGACAATTTTACATGAGCTACTTCTTTCTATCTGTGTATGTCGTCCTACTTTATGTTGGGGGTAAGTCTCACTCACTAAATGGAAACAACAAATGAAGGAATAAAGAAAAAATTGACCCATATCGGTTAAAGGTTACAATGAATGCATTGCCTTCACAATAACTTACATTCCTCTGCCAGCGACGGCGGTGGCGACAAAGGCAACGACAACAAGAGAGTGAGCAACAGTAGCACGAAGTCAGGCAAGCAGTCGGCAGTCAACCATTAGCGAAATAGGGCAAAGTGCTGCTGTGAAGATCTAAAACAAAAACACAAAAAAGCACGAGATAAAAACATAACAACATTCAGAAAACGAAAAGCAGTGGAGCAGCCTTCGCGAACAGCAAGAGGAAGTGCTGCGGTGGTGTTTATCGTTCATAACGTTTTGTGTGTAGTGGGGTGATGTGTTTGTTCTTTGTGGGCTTTAGGCAACCTCCAATTTCTACTCCATCCTTCTTCGTTTTGTATGTTTGATGACACGAAAGACAACTTTGTAAAAGATGCCAAACACTGTTCTTAAAAAGAAAATTCTTCACATTTGTTGCACCATAATTTATGTATTTATCAATCTATCTACTTTCTATTCTCATAGAAATCCAAGTGAAACCGAAAAGAAGTTAACAAAAGAAACAATAAAAACACCTGCAAAAAAATAAGTGTAAAAATTCAAGTGCAAAAGTAAAGAAAAACGAATATAAAAAACTCCCTCCATTCTCTCTCTCTGCAACATCCACAGTTACGTCTCTCGTAACGGACACGGCGACCCTCGTATGTAAACACATTGCCAAAAACAAAACATTTGCATCGGCGACGTGAGTGACAGACAGCCAGCGTCATTGTACAAAGCTTACAGCAACAATAATAATTGCCACACAACAAAACTAGCAGCAGCGACAGAAGCTGCAGCATCATCATCGGCAGCCAGTCGGCTACTTAATTGTGTCAGTGTCTTGTTTTGTTGTTGGTGTGTCATTGTTACTTTACAAAAACACACGGCTAGAGTGAATAATAGAAAAAATATTATCCTATTTTGTGAATACAGCTTGGTGGTGTTAGTGTTCGATTGAATATCCTTCGTTCTATCTTCGCCAACAATTCGTTGTCCTCGTAATCGTCCTCGACAGTTACAGTGCAGTGGTCGCCGTTGTCGTCGTCATCGTAGTCGTCAACGCCGTTGCAGCAACAACTTTGTAACAGAGTCTTAACTACAACAACTACTTCTGCTTCTTGCTTTTTGTTCTATTTTATTAAGAATTCTCGCGCATACATTTTCACCTTGCATCCGTATCCGTTTTCTTTCTTTATCGTGTTTCCGTTTGAGTAACCTCTCAACAAATTTCTACGTGCAATCAACAAAAACAACAACACAAACGTATTACAAAAACAAAGAGAAAAAAAAAACAGAGCAAAAAAATAAAAGTAAACAAAACGAACGAAAATAAAACGACAAAAGCAAAATCAACACCAACACTCAACGACAACAACAAAAAAGCAAAAGAACTTTAAATAAAAAACAAATACATTATTAATTTAGAAAAGCAAGGAAAACACGCAAAACAATAGTCACAGCAGCAACAACAACAACAAAGAAAGCAAAAAAACAACAAAAACAAAAAAACAGCTTCCACACACGACGATGTTTACGGGTAAACTACAAATAAAAGTCTGCGAGGCGAGCGGTTTACGCCCAACAGATTTTCAAAAACGACACAATTTAACCTTCGGCAAATTAGCCGACGAACAATTAATTGATCCTTATGTTTCGATCGACGTCGATGATTCGCATTTTGGTAAGTAGAAACACATCTTTACATTCTTTAATGTTTTCACATTTAAATTCTTTAGAATATCTTTAAACAAATTTCTTGGTTTATTTATCGACAGTCTGCTGGTTTTATGGGGTTTTCTGTTTATGGAGGACCGGTGTGATGACTTCCATATTAAGAGGAGTCTTAGCATAAATTCTTTTATGAAAGCACGTTTGCATACAAATTTTTATCTGACTTAACTCCGATAATTGACCAATCACAATAAATTAGAGTGTGGAATAATTATATTTGATTATTAATTATCGAGGTTAACCTGTCTAAAAATGTTATATGTAAACTCGGTATAAGTTGACCTTGAAGATAAAGTTTTAATGATGTTTATGGGGCTCACATATTTTCAAAACTTTTTGTGTATGAAAATTGCTGTTACTTTAGGTGTATTTTGCATATTTTGCCAAAAAAAAGAACATACCCCTACTCCAAAAAGTTGAACAATATTCCCATCTCACTTTTTACACCACGAATTTGTGTGAGGTATAGAGGGTATATATTATTTGATACGTCCAAAAACGTGCCTTATCGAAAAAAAAAAAGGATTTGGATCAAAACCATTAGGAGTCGATCTGAAAGTGTCTCGCCGCCCATTATTCTATCTGTCTGGTTGTTGCGCACGATAACTCTCGAAGGATGTATCCGATTTGGTCCATACTAAGCACATCGTAATATTATCAAACTTAAATCAAGGAGGCTTATAAATATGCTTTCAACAGGTGCAACAGTGAGATCGAGAAGTCCAAAAGGTTATCATGGGTGTGTTTTACTGAGTCTATAGAAGATGTCAATGAAACTTTCAGATTTTGTAAAATTTTTTCAAACGACTCTAAATCTATTGGAAGATGGAAGTTGGACTGACTATGGTCTAGAGACTTTCAATCTTTTAGCCAGCATTAACTTTCCGGACAGCATATATGCGAGAAATGATCGACTGGCAGAGCTACATAGTCAGCACTGTGGGGTAGAGGAGGTGAGTCTGATTGATAGAATTGTAAGCACCCCCAAAACCTTATGGTGTGTATTATTATGACCGGACGGCATTATTCTCGACATGTTGCAGCATGCATCGACGCTTGTCTGCGTCTCTCTCACATTCCATCACTATGGAGTGAAGTTACAGTCACTTATATTCCCAAAGCGGGGAAACCAAGTCATGTACTTCCAAAAGACTACAGGCCTATCAGTCTTTCGTCTATTCTGTTGATAACTCTGGAGAGACTAATAGACATTTAGATCCGATTTCTACTACCCTTGACTTCAATAAACACTGCTCAACATGCCTACATGAAAGGTAAATATGTTAAAACTGTGCAGCTTGATGTCGTGGATTGTGTGGAGAAGAACTTGAACGACGAACCGAACGAAAGTGCCTTCAATAATGTCACACTTGAGGCAATTCATGGTTCCCCTACAAAACATAGTTTACCACCACTCCTTATTGATTGAATTTATGTTCTGCTCAGTAGATGGATCATCAAATCAAACATTGGAGAGTGCTTTGTCAGGAAATCGGATACTATGGGTACCCCCAAAGAAGGGGGGGGGGTTCTTTCACCCTTACTCTGGCTTCTAGTGATAAACAATATACTAAAGGACCTGGAACATGACGGAACAAAAGTAGAGACTTACGATGTAGTTCTGTTGATTGCAAACTTGTTTTAGATCTCATGCTCTTGTGAAACTCTCTAGATGGGCACGATGCAACGGAACCTATCTAAAACATATAATGAGGCGAAAAACCCCAGATTTTTTGCTACCAATGCTGGATGGAGTTATGTTAAGCCTTTCAACGGAAGCTAAGGAACATCGGAAAAGGAACATCGAGGAGCGAGAGAAGAGAGGCTTAGTCGCACTCTATTCTTGTAGGAATTCTATAGGGATGAGTTGGGGACTTAAGCCACATATAATCAAATGGTTATATGAATCAGTTGTTCGGCCAATACTAACTAATGGAAGCTTTAGCAAAGCTAGGATATTAAACATTTTTAAATCTTGTACCAAAATTCGCTGTAAAGACCGTCGACTGAAACCCATTTGCGTGGCACATCGTTTGGTCGATGTCGACGGCGCTTCCATGACTTCCTCGGGTACAGCAGCAATATTCTCTGCAGAGGGGATACTCCACGCGCTGACAGCATCTTTTATTTGCCAGTCTCTTCGAGGCGAGCCGCTAAACGTCACAGGGTTTCACCAATAGCGAGGAAATCTGCGACTATTAGTCAAATAATTGTATTTCGCATGTGTTTACTACAAAAAGGTCAAAACAGAACTGACATTAGGGACCCATCGTTCAAATTATAGCAACGATGAATGTTTAGAGGTGCTTCCCAATTTGGAGGGTATACAAATATTATGTATCTTTCTAGGAGGAAGTACAAAATTGGGTTGAAACTTTGCCTTATATTTGTGTCAAATGTGAAAATGGCCATTATCGGCCCACTGCTTTCAGTACCTCCCACAAAAATTGGCAACATTTTGAACGCTTACAAATCGCGTAAAGTGAAAAATGGTTTATATTTATATCCACTAGGGTCGACTCCTTTAGATACCTCTAAGTGAAACTCAACTCTATACTTTGAAATATTTCAGCCGAATTTAGACGAAGTGCATATTCATATTCTTTGCTACTTATAGTTACAGTCGGGTGTTATTTTTACAAAATATACTTCAGGGGAAAACGTCGTTTTTTACTATAAATCGCATTTCAGTTGCCTGAAAAATTTCTTTTCAAATTTATTATTATACTCCGGATTTCAGTTCCAGTTATCAGTAGTGAGTAGAGTTGTGTCAATCCAATTTCAGTTCCTAAACGTATGAGTGATTCATAACTTTTATATATTTCATATCACTCATACGCCTAGTTTCATAAAAACTAACGAAAAACGAAGTCCACGGAACTAAATAAGGAACTAGTTTGTTTGACACATTGAGTCATAGCGTATACTTTGTTAAATTAACCTGTCGCTGATGGTCGTCAAAACTGAATGAAACTTAATCTAATAGGGTTCTTCATTTTATTTTTTACTTTCTTTCTGCACATTATTATTTAATTAAAATTAATAATTAATTAAATATTTATAATAATATTTATGTTAATTAAAAATTTAACTATTTTCATTTCTTTATTTCAGATCGCTCAACAACACGTCCAAAAACATTCGATCCCGTTTGGAACGAACAGTTCGTGCACGATGTAACGAATGCAAAAAACATAAACTTAACAGTATTTCACGATGCAGCACTCCCACCGGATGACTTTGTGGCAAATTGTATAATACCTCTGGAGGATATTATGCAACATGAAAGCGGCGTACCGGATCTATGGGTGAATTTAGAACCTCAAGGAAAAATCCATGTTATTATAGAACTTAAAAATAAAAATGGGTAAGTGAATAATGGATACGATAATAATTTAGGTGGGAGAAGAATTGATAAAGTGGATTATGTTATGTATATTCATTGTATGAACTATAATCGTATAAATCATGAAACATTTAGGATGGAAACAAACTCGCCAAATTTATTTAAATAAAATTGGCTCATAATAATATATAGCTTTGGTGTATATGTTCAACGATTTTAAATTGAAGGAACAGGATATGAGATGAAAGGCATTAGAAAAACAGTACAGAGATTGAGTTTCGAGCAAATTCCATTTAAAACTGCTAACGTCAGTGGACTCACATTTGCCAATTTTATACGAAATCGATTCAGATATGGATACAGCTCCAATATATATCTTTTTCTCGATTTCATGTTTATTGTGCGCCAAATGGTTCATATAAGCCCGAATTCAATGGATTTTGGCACATACAAACGAATTTAGCCCGGAAAAAGTGTATTAAATTTGACGAGAATCGGTTAAGATATAGCTTTATGTCCCATATATACAGGGTGAGGTAAAAAATCTGCAACACAAATCTTCAAACGCCATAATATATACATTTTTTTTAAAATTTAGAATGAGTTTAGATTTGTTCGATTTGGTTAACTTTGGTTAACTTTGGCACGAATTATGGCCTTCAAACGGCCAATGAAACCGTCACACTCTACCCAAATGTTGCTCTGCAGTATTTTGGCCCATTCCCGGGCGAAACGCTTGCTTGAGGTGATCTACACTTTGATATTTTTAGTACCTTGCATTCCAAAATACTCCAGACACAATAGTCCAACGGAATGATATCCGGAGATTTTGGTGGTCATTGTGCGCCTGGAAAGTGAAGCGAGGAACCTCATTTCGCAAACATTCTTGGGTGGCGCGTGCTGAGTGCGATAATGCTGAGTCCTGTTGGAATGTCCAAGGTATACGCCAAAATGTGTTTGTGTGGCCAAGCTTTAATACATCCTCCAGAATATTTTCGCAATAATATTTGGCATTTATTCTGATGCCACAGTCGATATACGAGCGGAGAGCGACCATCGGCTGTTATGGCGGCCATACCATCACCATGGCCGGCGGTTGAGTTCTGGTAGCCACCGCCGACCTCTTTGGCAAGTAAACAAGATCATTTTGTTTGTTTACAAACTGCTGTACAACGAATGTTTTCTCATCGGAGAAAACCAAATTCGCGGCAGTTCTTCATTCTTTAGCTCTTTCGATTCTATTTTCTGTCTGTTGCGTGTAGGTTCTTGCACTTTTTGGAAGTTCAATGGCTTAATCCC